TTCGAATGACTCGAAATCTGAAGCCAAAAGTGTGCCCCATTCATGGAAAGGAAAATGAAAATAAAACGCGGAGTACCGTTCTGCAAAAATTCTAGGTCAATTGTATGATATGGCTAGCCACATTGATATCCGATCAAAGATCCAGTTTTTGTCTCCTGAGGAAAGACCACAGTTCGACAAGCGGATTTTAAAATCAGGGATTGAGGTTGACGAGAAATTATTGAGCGTTGCAACCGACCTCAAAATGCAGTACGATACGGATATGCGGCGGATCATGGCCCGGCACGAAATCGAAACCGAACTCGAAGTCTGGTCAACGTTCGTACTAAGTCATTCGGAGATGTCGAATGACTACAAATTCCATGAAGACATTGGTCGCATCTCATCCGCCCTGCGGGAGAAGTTCAGCACGCTCTGTCAGGAAAAAGCAGGCGGTAACGACTTTGAACACCTCGCGCCTCTTGCCGTCGCGATGTATAAAGTGACCAGCGAACAGATGGAGGCGGCTATGGCTGAAAAATCCGCTGTCCTCATTGAGAATAACAAAATGGAGAAAAGGTTGCCTCTCATTAGTTTCCCTTGGGTGCTCCAGCAAGTACTCGGAAAGATCGCGAATGGGTGTTTTGAGAGTCCATTGAATCACAGACGGTGTCCCGCCATTATTCAGGTCGAAATTCCCCGCGCTCCCAAACCTATCAAAGCCATCAATATTCTTGTCTCCCCGGACGCGGAAACTGAAGGCGGCCTGAAGTATGCTGGCGATGTCTTGCAGCTTTTCGATGACTCCGAATCCAAAGAGGAGCTGTTTGAGTATCTCAGTGAACAATCCGACAAGCCCGAAGCGCCGGCCGGTCAAGATGAGGGTATAATTACCCCATCGTTTCAAAAAATCCATGGCCCAAACGGTGAGGGCGCAGATCTACTTATTGCCTTCAACGATGATACCAGCACTCCGTCGATTTCTCTGCCATATCCAAACATCCAAGGCAAAATTACCATACCGGCACGAGAACCACTCACTCCGAACATCGCTCCGCCTGCAAGGGCCCTCGATCTGAATGGGATTGAATTTAGATCCGTTTCGCAAGCGTATTTCGCAAACTCCTACTTACCAGCTACTCAATGTGAAGCTAATGGCTTACAAGTGGGAGATGCAAATAGGCAGAGAACCAAGCAAAATGCTAAACCGGCTTGGAGTTTGGCTGTGGCGGTCGGGAGTCAAGAAGACAAAGGAGAAGAAGAAGGACATAGGGAAGAGATCATCGAGTTTGGACACGATATACAAACTTCAGCACTGGATGAACTTGAACAGCTTTTGGGGATGAATTGATGATGGGTATATCGAAATAGCCACGGCCCGGGGTGTTGAGGGGGAGGGAGGAGGGAGGAGGGAGGGGCAGGAAGGGGGAGGAAGGTCTACCTTGGGATATGGTTTTGTTTTCTTGCACCCTCCTTCAATTCATTCTACTTCTTTAGATTTATCCTTTCATTTTTACTTTTTCAATGTTCTTGCGCATTCACATGCTGTTGGGGGGATTCAAGGTTCTGCGCGGCGGTAAGGGATTTGGTAGCTTGAACTTGTGGTCGTGGTATCACTCAAGGACCCTACCGGGGGAGGGGCATCTAGGTAATAAGTTCTTTGCGTAATTAAACTTCAAAATTAAAATTGACAAAATGGCCTTTCAGACAGAATTTCCGTGAAACATGTTCTAATGTCGAACCAGTGCGGCGTGGAAATGAGTGGTGTGCGCGTTGAATAAGAAGATGTTGGCAATGACGCAAGTATTTACATTTTTTTTTTAAGGCTCGAACGACGAAACTCACCTGATTCTGGGGCAGGAGGGAATTCAACCACCTGATAATTGATATTCACCTTTTAATTTATGATTGCAATCTTAAGTCAAGAGTACCTCATATTTACCATATCGATTCTCGTCTCACAATTCCATCCCGTCATATTTCGAGCTTAAATAAGCTTGGTAACTATCGCATCAATCGACTTAACGAATAAATATATCCTCTCACCATACAACCGCGGCAGTGTCGCACAACCCTCTTCCCCGCCGCACAGCAGATACACAAGGGGGAGGAAGCTGAAGCGGTTACTCATTCGAATTAAACCTCTCCTTTCTAGCCAAGAATAGTAGAAGGAAAGGAAGAATAGAAAGCGAATAAACATGTCTATACCAACCGCACCCCTCCTAGCACCCTACACAGCTTCACCTCTCCCGGCCCAATCACTCACCCTAATCACCTCCGTTCTAGGGGCAACGAGCAATTGGTTGGTTCTAAGGATCCTATGCGATGCTCTATCTTCCGGTAGCGGTCGAGGTGGAGAAGAGCTGGAGTTCAACGCTGGCCGGAGAGGGATACGACGGGTGGTGCTCATGAGCTTTTTGAGGGGGATGGAGTTCTGGAGGGCGGAAGCGAGGAGATTGGTATGGATTTTATTGATATTTTTCTCTTGAAAATTTTTTGGTGTTTGGATCATTTTGGTTGCATTCTTAATTCTCATGATTGCTTTTATATATTTTTTGGTAGTTCCGCATTTATACGTGGGGGGACATGAGTAACAGCTATATGAATTAAATTTTTCATTGGCATGTTCAAACGACCTTTATTTAAGCTTTACTGACACTCCATCTTAGGGACTGGATCTTGCCAGACTATCAAAACAAGGCAATTTCGCTTTCATAGACGGGGTCTCAGAACTCTTCTTGCCCGCACAAACAGACCCAGGTCCAGCGCCAGCGCCAGCCCCCCCTGTGGCAAGCGGCTCTCCAATCCCCGCGCGGATACCGTCGCACGCCACTCTATCAGCTCGAGGGCCAGTATCTAGCCGTTCTCCAACCGTAACTAGCCATGGGAAGAGCAGTGGTAGTGCGTCAAGGAAACTTCGATGGTCTGGTATGGGAAACGCAGGCCTCGACTCCCTGGAGCTGGAGATCGCCGCTGCCATCGATGACTTGAGCGGGGGTACGGCGTCTGATGAAAAGCCGGTGGAAAACGATGTTCTCCTTATAGTGGATCAGCCTGATTTGCTCCTGGCTGCTACAGGTCCGGGAATGGGTGTTGGGGCGGCGGAGATGGGGGAGTTTTTGTTCGGGTTACGGCAGGTACGTTAACTCTTTATATACCAAGATAATGGGTTTGCATCCCTCAAAACACCCCTTCTATACTACCACGAAATCTACGGGGTGTGAACCTGGACGAATTTGATAGGCTAATTAAGTGGGATTTCTTCTCCTATTCCCCGAGTTAGCGGGTTCATTCTACGGTTGTCACACTTGCGGCAGATTCGCCTCTGATTCACGCAGGTTCTGCCGAGTTTATGGAGCAACAACCAACGCCGCTTGAAATAGAGCATGCATCCTTAGTTGTAGGGATGGCGCATCAAGCTAGAATGGTTATGCAGTTGAGAGGTTTAGACACAGGTGTTGCGCGAGATGTCAGTGGCGTTCTACGGATTAGTAGAGGGGGTGGGTGGGTTCCAGAAACGGAGAAAGGAGATGGTCACGATCATGCGGGCTTGGAAGAGAAGGAGGTACTGTACTTTGTACAGGGAGATGGTGCGGTTCGTGTTTTCGGTAGAGGCGAGTGAACGGGTTGATCATGGTTGTTATATGAAATCACATGTGTAAGATTTTTCTGAGAGTAGAATCAATACCTCCAATTGAAAGCATTGAACGAATCGTAAAACCGTTGGAGAAGTAAAGTGATCAATGACGCGGACGGCTAGAGACCTTCGATTTTCGAAGATGGGGAGTAAGTAACATGTAGCTCGAGTTGTGATAAAATGGGCCCAGTCCAACAAGATAGGTATATGTGAACAGGAAGCACCTTGGCCACAGAGCGCATGTCATTAAACTATTCATGTACACGGCGCACGCCATGTTCCACCCCACGCCTTCTCACTCCCCATCCGGCCAAACGAGTTGTTTCCCCTTTTTCGAATGTTGATAGCACGCTAGCAAAATAAAACAGTAAACACCTCTGAACCGTTAAAAGAAAATCAATCCGGCCATCCACAAGGAAAAAGGAAAAAAAAAAATAATTCAACCCTTAGCCTAGATTGTCATTGGAAACCCATTCTTTCAACCCCGCAGCAACTTAATGCTTCTCTGGCCCCCGAGCTCCCTTGGGGGTGCCGGTTTGGAATCCGTTCTTGAATTTGCGGTCGACCGTCTTGAGATATCGCATGCGTCCAGTTCCGGTGGTTCTTCGTCGCAGACCCTTCTCGGCCCAGTTGACTATTGACGGCAAAACAAACGATGTAAGTAAACGTCCTGATATCCTATCCGTTTTACCAAGTTCCAAAACCATCTTTTTGCCTTCCCGATTGCAGATCCCCTTCTACTCTAACGTGCCGGATGGATTGTATATTGGGACTCAACGTACATTTCCGGGTCTTAGCGGCTGGATACCCGCAAGACGAGCATGTGTGCTTCTGGATGTGGAAAGAGCGACGGCCTGTTTAAAATTGTCCAAAATAATGTTCAGTATATCATTTTTCTCTGCTAAAATATCGCGGATATTGAAAAATGTGAGGATTTCAAGGGGGTTGATGTCCGAATGCCTCTCGTGCACAAGCGGGATTCCAGGAGATCGGACTAACCGCAACGTCTGCACAGAGTGTGCGATTTGTTATGGCGCTTGCCAAAGCTGGAAGTTCCCTTCGCTATTCAATCTGTCAGTTGATCGTAATAATTAAATGGCGAACAAGGCCGGGTATGCGGTGGTTCTGGACCGGCGGACGGATCGGTACGTACTCATCTTGAATTAGGGACTAGAATTTGAACAATGTCAGCAAATAGTATGCGCGCGAGTCCGCATACAATGAATATAGCCTTCTCACCTGGAATTCTGCGTCTACAAGCGCTGGTCGTTGTCGTCGTTGTCGTCGTCGGGCGTTGGATCGAAAGTTCTCATCGCGGCCGGAAGTCGCTAAGCGAATTGTGGTGTAGGGTTTGAACCCTACACGTGACTTGATTTCCTCTTTCAGCGATGTCTCCATGCCGTGTGTGCAAGTGCAAATATGCCAAGAATAGGTGCAAACATTGACGATCAAGCTTATCCAAAAAATTTGTTCCTCAGCATCGGATCTAGAAACCAGCCAACAAAGAGCTACAAGCACCCTCAAAAGAACCTGAGATTAAAGATGGGTCGCATTTTACAAAAAAGGAAGAATCGCTCAGGCGCTCCAAGGGTGAAGCAAAGAGCTAACCGGCTGAAAAATGGGAACAAGAAAATTAACGTCCTGGGGAACGCTATCATCGCGCAGAACTGGTATCAAATCTCCTTAAAACTGCCCCTGCCAAAGGATCTCCTTTCTTTTTACATTTCCATGCCAATCTAACATCTCTTAGGGATAAAAAATTAACCCTAACCCAAAATTACCGCCGACTTGGCTTAGCATCCCAGCTCAACGCCCCGACTGGCGGCGCGGAGAAGAAGCTCGCGGATTTGTCGTCGGGCCAACAACATACAGACTCTTTACATCTCCTACCCTCCTCAACAATCTTGAAGATGATAAAACCTACCGAAGCGCGCGTCGAACGAGATCCAGAAACAGGGAGGATTCTCCGCGTGATTCACCCAGAGAACGACGACGAGGTTGAAATTGCGGGGCGAAAGCGCCGGAAAGCAAACCCACTAGAAGATCCGCTGAATGAAGTTGGCCAGGCTGGTCTCGGTAATCCGTCCATGAGTATTCCAGGTAGCATGTCCTCGTCGGCGATAGTTCAAGCGCTGGAACGCCAAGCCGCTTTGGAAGAGGAGGCCTTGAAGAAGAAACAACCCAGACAGCAGAGCAAGCGCGAGGAGGAATGGCTAGGGAGACTAGTGGCGAAGCATGGTGATAATATCGGTGCAATGGTTAGGGATAGGAGGTTGAATCCTATGCAGCAGACGGAGGGGGACATAAAACGGAGACTGAAGAAATGGAAGGAGAAGCGGGGAGCTGCCTAGCGGGGGAGCGGTTACCAATGTACGAGAGATATTTGGAGATTTAGAAGGACGGGAGAACTGGATTTGGTTTGGCATGGCGTTTTACGGAGTTGGGACTTTTCGTTTTTCATCGGCAGAATCTGGACCTTTTTCCTTTTTCCTCTTCTGTCGGCCATAGACATGATCCCGTCGTATGCGTCTTTTTGGAGCTGCTAGCTTCATGTTTACTGGACACCTTGGCCGATGCGGTAATTGTGCCAGTTAATATTGGTTCTTCGTACCTAATTATAGGTGCTCACGAATCCAGCCCTGGAGGTATGCGACGTTCCGCTTTGGTCATGGCTACTCGAGTATCGTCTTCGCAGTTGACATCTTTGTTACCGTTGGTACTCTGTGTGAATACCGTTAGTATTGAGATACATCTGCACTCCCCTTCCAAGGGACTTCATTTCCACGGTCTATTCTACATAATGACGAGGCATGTGCATATCCTGTCTCACTGTACCCAAGGGTGACGGATAGCTCGAATGACTCCCTTCGCCACGGGCAGTTGCCACTAGACATAGCGGAGTGGACTTGGAATAATGAAAGGTTATATGAAATAAATTGAAAGCGACGAAACTCCCTAATGACTTTCAACCGTTTTCTCCTTTCTCTTTGGTTTCGGGAAAAGGAATCAAAGGCATTATGTGGGCTGCCTTGAACGTGCACGTCCGAATACGCATCCAGCCATCCATGTATAAAGAGAGTGAAATAACACGGTGCCCCTTACCGCATTCACAATTAATATGCCTATTACAGTGAAAAAATATATTAGTTGTTTATAATTTCCAGGACTTGTCCTTTTTCTTTCCCTTCAAGTTCATAATAACATAGCCATAAGAAGTTGGAATTCGAATTATTGCTCCTCTTCTAATCAAGCCGCGCTCTATTCTACCTCTCCCTTCGCTATTTGGTACCCCTTCGGCATTTAAAACACTTCGCGCTCTCTTTTGGTATTCTGACGCCGGGTTCCAACAAGACGCTGACGCCCCAAATGCCTAAGTTATCAGCGACTCGGGTTCTCGGGACCCTTTTACTGCTTTCTCACCTGTCCATCGCACAGATGTAGGTACTCCACAGCCATGGCAATCTAGCGTGGAAGGATATGCGCTGACCGAGAAACAAATGTCCTTCAAGTGAATTTTCATTTCCAGGCGTGATAACTGGGCTGAATTGCATAGTTAGCCAGCAGGGCCAGGAGGACGTTTGTGGAGAATTGCCAGATGGAACAGTTCCATTCCTGATCAAAATGTGCTCAAAGGGAGGGCCGAAACAAATTGACTGTCGTGAAGCGTATGTTTTCTTCTTCGCACGAAGAAGAGAGATAAGGAAAAAGAAAGACAATACTAACAACAAATCCTAGGCTCAAAAACATTGATCCTGTCGGGACAAAGAAACATGCATACTGTAAGTGGCTAATAAATAATATTCCCCCCACATGAGACAAAGCATGAAACGCATGAGCTATATGAGAAAGACATAAAGAAACCAGCTTCTAACGTCAAACACTCATATGAAAATACTAAAAAATCAATAACAGGCCACACATCCTCTCAAAAACCCATATACCCCGTCTGCATCCTCGACGGAAAGGAATATGACGTGAACGACAAGGGCGAGGCGAAATTCAAAGCAAGTGGCACCAGAACTGCAGAGGCAGCGTCATCCACATCTGTATCTGCATCTGTATCTGCATCTGCAACCTCGACTCTTTCATTCGCGACAGCGACTAACTATGCTAGCAAGGCCACTCTTGACCCGGAGTCAACACTGTCAGCAGGTAGCAGCAGCGGCGGCAGCAATGATGACGACGCGACTCGCACGACTGATGCATCCACGGCCACGACCGATCCCATATTGCGCTCCACGGTAGACGTTACGGTAACAATTCCCCCGCCAGCTGCCTCAACGATGGCAGCGAATGCACCTATGAGCTCTGCGTCGGCGGCGGGGGGTTCTCTGATGGCTAATGGGGTTGTGGGCAGTTTGGTTGTGGCATTCTTTGTGGAAATATGTATTTTGGTTTTGTTTGGTATAGATTAGGCTGGGTAGGGGGGGGGAGATGGGAGATTCTGTGTCAATATTCCCACATTCTAGTTCTTGTACTGTGGGTAGAAGCTGCATATCAAAACGTTAGGAATTTTTGGTCGATTTCCTGCACTTCTCAAAGAAAATATCGTGTTGATGAATTGTAGAGAAGGTTGTACCTAGCTATCATGAAGTTTGGCTCGTTTATGGAGCCGGATCAATGTTCATCCTCGGCATTCTTATCATCAGTTCGGATGAGTGCTCCAGATGCCCGTACCGTACAAGACGGAGTACTCTGCATCGGAATAACTACTAGTTGAAAGATGGTATCACGAACTATTCAGCATAAACATCCATTTGACTCGTAATCGTAACATCATCGATACAATTAGCACACGGGGCATCATATCTCATATGCATAATAACCCCATACGCAAATCAGCTAATTATACAATTTTACCCAGTATCAGAGCTTCTGTCATCAACACTGGCGCGCTGCACAACTCTAACCCATCTCCGCCGTCTCCATTCTCCCGTCCCGCCAATCCCAGCAACGCCTTCTTCAAAGTCTGCTTTGGCCAGCTTCCCCTTCCCCTTGGAATTCCCTTTCTGTTCAGCTTCATTATCTTTCCCCTTGGTTTCATAGCTGGCCCCATACGCTAAGCCATCATTGTTATACGCGTCCTCATCAGGAGGGTGGAATGGTAAATCCCAGACCCAGCCTCCGACCTCCTCAGGCACCGCATTATCGCTGGAACCCGGAACTTCAAACGCGACACCCGTAATCATCCGCTCTATCACCCACTCGCGGCATTCGAGGTCCAGCTGCCACTTCTTGCCTTTCCATTTCCAGCCCGGCGGTGCCTTGACGTCCTCAAAGAACCGTGTACCCCTTGGTCGATCGCCTGCGATACGAGATGGAGATAGCGGGTCATAGGGAGTGGGGGTGAAAACAAACGACTCCCAGTCCGAAGTTGCCGTGTATGGCGAGAGCGTTTTGTGCTGGAGCTCGAAAATTTCCACTTCTCGCTCTTCTGGGTACGTATCGAGTGAAATTGCAGCAGTAGATTTAAGTAATGTGAGGAGCGCAGACGGCGATGACGGAATCGGGATTCCGAAAACGTTGTAGAAGGCGTCGCCGGCCGTACTCTGGGCTTCAGCGGTTGCGTCTTTCATCTGATGCCCGATTTCTTGCATGAAGGCAGCAACGCTAGGATTGCTTGCGATAATAGCAGCGTTCCCACCAACAAGGCACAGCATACGCCATGGGATTAGATGGGCCGTTAAAAACAGAATAGCAGATAGGATGGTGAGTAGGAGGAAAACGGTGGATGATAATGTTTCATCAGAAAAGTTTGTGGCAGGGGACAACAGAGCTACGGTGGCATCGTGCAGGTTCGCAAAATCTGCCATACTATTCTGGAGGTCTCGCATGTTACGGAAGAAGTCCTTTGAAGTTTCTGAGACGGGTTTAATAGTCTGTGCTGGAGCAAGAGCCGGCCCATCGTATGAGTAGTACGCAGTAGTGCTAGAGGTCGATGCAGAGGCGGGCGGGGGTGGATGACGAGCAAGAAATCCCGGGACCATAATAAAGAGCAAAAAGACAGCAAATGGGAGAATCATCAGTAAGTATGGGTCTAGGCAAATAAACGAGTAGACGGAAAGGAAAGACAAGGTGTGAGTTGGGGTTTGCCAGCTCAGGACGTTGGTCACGCGCTCCTGGAAAAGAAATACAATGCCAATTCTATATAATAGTTAGCAAAAGAAAGATGTCCATCCTGTCCGGTAAGGGTATAAGAAGGGAAATCATGCCTAGCATTAAAACGTCGGAAGTTGTTGCTCATTGTAGGAAGGCTGAAAGCAGGGCGGTCAACGTGGACAGTGGGAGGTTTGCCGGCCACAGCTTCGGACTCATCCCCAGGATCTTCCCCAGGTAAAACCTGCTGCCATAGTCTGAATAAAGATAATGCCAGTTAGCTCCAGTAGTATATACAGCTACATAAGCAATATATTAGGACTATACTTTGTTAACAGCCGTTCCTGAAGAGAGGACCCAGCAGACCAACCACCCAGTGATTTCGCATCGGATTTCATGCCTTGGAATTTTTGCTTCAGTCGCCGGGCAGATAGAGCGGATGCAACAGAAACATTGTCGTTGTCCCTTCCAGCTGGCCTGGGGCTATCTTCGGCTGGCTGCGACGAGACTGAAATGACAGGAATGGGGTCTTCGCGGTTGACGAAGGCGTCTGCCGTAAACTCATCCATGGTTGATGCTGAGGATGGACTTCCCAGGTTAAGGCCGCATCCGACCTGGAAAATCAAACGATTGCACACAATATTATGGGTTGTTGTGCAACAGTATTGAGTATTAGTATTATATTGTCACAGAATATCAGAGTAAACCTCATCTGTGAAATCCAGAGGAGATATATAGTTACAGGACGATGTTGGTTCATGTGGTCAGTTCTTCTAAAGATCTTGTTTGGTCGTGACATGGGTTCCAACCTCGGCTCGTGCCAAGAAGAACCCGTGAAGTCGGGAAGCCGGGTGCCAAGAGGCTAACTTTATATTATAATTAGCGTATTAAGGAGCCTCCTGAAATGTTGTAAGATGGAGCATTGTGCTTGATACAGAAACGATACTATCATCTGGACAAATCAAAACTCATGAGTTCAACTAGGGGTAATTCGCTAGGTGGGAAACTGAGCTGGATGTGTGCTATGTGCATCTGAGGTATCAATGTCAGTCTATACCAAGAATGAAACGGAAATGGCCATGAGACCAAAGGCGGGTAATGTGCGCCAGTGACTGATCTGAAGGAAATCCGTATATTTGTGGAAACTGCTTTATTGTATTTTATTGTAATGTAATGTACATGTCACGAATTACTCTCCGCCGTCTAATATTTGCTATATAGAATTACAGATTGCGATGTCCTAGTATCCGCCCCATGCATAGAATCTATAACCCAAATGCAAAAATGATCAAAATGCTCCGCCAGAAATGGATTCGATGCTTTTTCGTATCCCCATCTATCCCAAGTACCTCATAACTCCCTCAAAAGCCACCAGCGCCATTGCATTCGCGGGGAATGCTCTCAAAAAGCACGGCAGGAATCCCCGCCAGTATCCTCTCCAACCGCTCTCTTTCGCGACAGCTACCGCTGCATCCTTCCACCGCGGAAATCTCCTTTCGCCATCACCCAGCTTGCCACCCAACGGATCCGTCATAATCCGTTGCTTCACAACATCGGACGGGTAGGATGTGAGCCAAAACACTTGCGCGGACAAGCCACCCGCCCAAAAGTTGACTGCTGGTGTGGATAGTTGAGTATGCTGCTTCATGAGTCGCGAGAAAATGTCGTAAGTGCTCCACCAGAAGAAGAAAAATGAGCGGAAGAGCAGAGTGGCGCAAAACCCGCGATAAAGCCCTTGGATTCCGTGTGTACGAAGCTATGAAAACAAATTTGATGTGAATAGGTGGATTGGGGTTTTTCGATTGTGTGAAGATAGTAAAATAAAAAAATAAAAATAATGAATAACACTGATAGGAGCACGTACAATCTTCTTCGTGCAGTCGATCGGGCCTCTATACAACCGTTGCTTCTTATCGGCTGCATACTGGATCTGTAATCGTGCTTTCACATGCTCAACAGGTGCTGCTATAAAGCTAACAGTTGAGCCAGCCAAAACACCAGCGATGCCGTGCCCAAAGCTGGACAGTCGATCTGGGACTTTCTTTGAAGCAAAAGGTATTATTCGTCGTAATTGTTTGTTTGCAAAAACATGTTCAAACAAAAGACGACGATAGAGGGTTAATGACCCGAGCATACTATATCAAGATTAGAAGAGTACTGCACGAAGAGTTATAAACAGATGCTGGGGTTCAACTGGAAAGACTAACACAGAGTCCATGACCATCCATCCCATCAAAGGTGGTGATGCACCTTTATACAAGGCCCTTGGTCCTTCATTCCGTACAGTCTTAAGCAAGCAATCTAAAGGACCGCTAAATTGTGCAGATTTTGTCGTTTGAAGACGAACCTTGATGGTATCGAATCTGTTGGCTAATATATCAGTCAAAAGAACTCAACCGATGAGCATATGGGAACAAGCCCTAGAGCGTCCAGGAAGGAAAATCCGAGATCAGGTGAGAATGATATTAAACATACGGATGTCCCACTATAAATTATCCCACATGAAGTGTTGGAAGCCTCGTCAGTTATCGGCCGTGACTCAGAATTGTTGTACAGGACATCAGATGTAAATGGCGGGCATCTGATAACCAAAACGAACAATTTCATTACAGAAAAATACGTCCAGCGCCATCATATCGACATTCGCCTTATATCCCAGCAGCATATATTGCCTTGTCACGAGAAACATAAAATGGGACACTTGTCGTAGGGATGCTGACGAGAAAAGGAAGCAAGGGGCCCAAAATAACTCACCACTCAACTTGGCAATGCCAGAAAACACACCCGCCACAAACCCTTTGTAGTCCTTTTTCTTCCCCCTTGACCTGGCAACACCTGGCTTCTCTCGAATCCCATCCGCTTCCTGATTTCTCATATCCGCTGAACTCATTTTCCCCGATATCAATCTAGGATTTCAAAGGTCCAGCGACCGTATGAGAAAGTACTTTTTGCTTCCAGGTGGGTTATTGCAGATGCAGTTTATCGTTTATCGAAAACATCGATGCATGCACCAAAGCCAGATCTTGATTTGAAACAAGATAGATAGAAAACTATCGGCTGTGTGTTTCCATTTAGACGTTGTACATATGGCAGTCAACCCGTTGTGAGGCAAAGCTGATCCAATTCAATTTTCCCGCTCCAAACACTCTCTGAGATTTTCCTTGACCGTGAGACGATTGACTGTTTCTCGTTTCCCCAAAAGTTATAAGTTATATCATAAAAATGCTTATATATTGAAAAATACCCTGAGCAAGCTTCATCAATTTAGTCGGGCCGAAAAAGGAGGGAACCTTGGAATGCTCTCGAATATAGTGTCACGTGATATGTAATATACACGGACGGTTCCAAGACTTCGACGCGACGTATATAGAGGCAGCTAGAACACGTATCGTCTATTGTTTATCTTCTGAAGGTCTCTGAAATTAGACATGTGCATGTACTCCAGGATAAACTAGTGATCACTAGTGCTGGTATAACTGGTAAGTCAGTAGCCATGAGAAGGGGGTAGTAATCAGTGCCAACTAACATGCAATAAGCGAGGTTCGGCATCGCGATGTTTGAATATGCCCGGCTTCTACAAGACCAAGCGGTCAGGAAAGGCAGGGAGGGAGCCTAAGCAGCGTTCGACTCAACCAGTTTTGGGGAAGATGCAGCGGATATTTACTCTGGCGGTGTGCAACGAGCTTAAACAACCGTCATTGAATACAAAAAACTCCACTACCAGGCCAGAAGGATTGACAGCTTAGAAAATGCTACGCCAATCCATGCTCCAAAGATGTACTTGCGCAAAGAAGAATTCAGTTAACATCTAACCACTCGTCAGATAAACTTCATCAAATAATAAACCAGCAACGGAGGAAATGATTCACATTAAGGCAGAGACTAAAATTTCACATCTTTCTGTCTTACCGTGCTGTTTAGGTATTTATTGGTCAAATCTGAGATACGAGTTGGACACGCTAGCTTCGAGATGATTGTTATGAACTCACACAGTGTACCTGGAGATAACTAAATAACCCGAGGGTTGAATGCGAGTGCTCTCATCCTCGCAGATTTTTCATCCGCCAGAGCTTTTCATCGTCCACCTCCCCACACAATGCCGGTATGAAACCCCTATTTTACATAAAGTCCTCGTAATCAGGACTCACCAGAGAGCATATATGTAACAGCACTGACCTCAGGAGAATTGCGCCCGCTTCTTTTTTTTAAAAAAATCAGCACGCAACATCTAGCCCTCCAACCACCACAGAGCCTACCCCTATAGACGAGGACGCAATCGACAACGTAAAAGCAGGCGCGGCGGGAATCATCAGCACCGCAGCATACACCAAAGCCGAGCTCCTCGACCAGATCACCTACCTCTTCCACCATGAGCGCTACGACAGCAATGACCCCCGCATCATCGCCGAATCGCGCCGGATAATCGACGAGCTCTGGCAGGCGCGGCTGGAGCAGCAGGCGACATGGCCCGCGGACGCGGACGCCGGGTTCCAGCGCGTCAAGCGTGCCTTTGAGATCCTGGCCGCGAACAAGGGGATCGTGACGCGGATGAATTTCTGCTACACGGCGCAGTCTGGCGATGCGCAGATACACCGGGAGGCGCGGGTGGGGGATTCGGGGTGGGCGTATTTCCACATGCAGGATGCGGAGAGGGCGGTGGACGGGGGCGGGTTGTGTGTGCGGTATGGGGCGCTGAGTGATGTCGATGCGGAGACGGCGGAGGTGGGGAAGACGGTTGTGCAGGTGCTGCGAGATGCTGGGCTGCGGGTTGTGTGGAATGGGCGGCCGCAGATGGTTATTCGGGTTACCCCGCTAAGTTGGCGGCCGAGGTTGCTGGTGGAGGAGTAGTTTGTATGTAGTATATATCTTGCATATCATATATCGCATATCTATGAGTAGATCTTGAATACACTGCGTCCGAAAAACGGGTCAACTTTCCGATATTTGCTCAACATGACATATATAGCTCTGTCTATGAAGTATGCTATTCTCTACAGCTTCATATTCCCGCGGCCCCCTTGCTGTTATTTAGACGCTACACATGATATCATAGTGCAGGTACAGACAGTGCACACCCTTCCACTGCAGTTGAGAGATTGCACCGAAAAGCCCATCCAGAAGCAAATCAATCCCCACACCAACAAACTCAAACAGACCTCTTTTCGAGCACCACCCCTCCTCATTTTTCCACTGCATAGCTGTAGTCAACGAACAATAAATGACGCCATTCCAGCATTTTTCCTGAGAAGTGTTATATCTAGTCACTATAACCCCTGTTCCCCCTTTCCCTCTCTGCGGCATTTATTTGCGCCATTTACGCATTCTTCACATGGTCACAGCGGACCTTTCGAGATTACCTACTCGTCAACCATCAAGGCTTATTTTACCGAGTAGCTGTCATGCTAGCAATCTGTGAATCATCGAGAGTGAAGAAATCCGGCATTGAACAACAGATAAAATATAAAGAGTGATTATGATTGCTACAACGCGTAGGAGTTTCACTCCTCAACAACTAGTTTTCGGGTAAATAATAGTAAAATTAAGAAAATAAACATAACAATCTTTCTAATTTCAAAACATTTTGTAAAAGAAAACAATAATTGAAAATAAATAAATAAAAAAAAAATAAAAAAACCCCACCAGAAATCCCCCGCCAATCACTGACCTTCTAACCCCTCCAAGCCTCTGTGGTGTAGTTGGTTATCACGTGAGTCTCATATTCATGTCCTATTCAAATAATATGATAGGTAGCAAAAACTACTTAGCGATCTCAAGGTCGCCAGTTCGATCCTGGCCGGGGGCAAGAGATGGGGTTTGTCTTTTTTGATTGTCTTATTTTTTTTAATTTTTTAATTTTTTCTTTCATGATCCCGAGGTCAAGTCGGGTTGGGGTGGCCCTGGGTGGTGTGTACCGTACGCAGTACACTCTGTAGCGGGGTGTCCGTGGCGTGTGGACAGACGCTATGACGACATTAAAAGGGGGAGAAGAACATTTGGACCTCAGGGCGCGTGCGGTGGTGGTGGGCCCCATAATAATACTAACTAATACTACTAATAATAATAATAATAATCGTTAACTCATAGCGCATGGATGGCTCCACGGAACCAACACTGGTAACTCGGACGGAGGAGGTAGGAGTAAGTAGTCCGCGGAGCAATTAATTATTCAACATTATCATATATTCTTATTCTTTGGGTTTGGTTTACAGGGTTATTTTTGAATTTGAATTCCCATCTCTTTCATCCCGGTCAAAACTTTTCTGCAGCTTGCCGCGTTGTGTTGTGGCGGGTGGTGGGAGTTTGAGTGGATTTATAATAATAACAATAATAAGACGATTCTTACGCAGTAACAATTATTTTGATTGAGGATGGTGTGGGGAAGAGAGTTTTTTCATGCCGGGCGCGGGTGGTTGGTCTGTGGTCTGTGGTGGGTGGGACGGGACGGGTTTTGTGAGTGGATATCGATCAGGGATCTTATACATACACCACAGCTATTTCTAAAAAAACTGGGAAATCTTATGTACACAAGTGATTTGAAAGAAGAATGAAAAAGTAACTTGTGATATAAAAATCAATGTTCTGCAGCCTCAAGCTCTCTCTGTCTCCCTTCTCTCTCTGTTTAATTCTATATATTTTTACTCTGTACATAGCAGGGGGTTCTTCTCAGCTATAAGCACTGCTAGAATAAATAGACTGAATGAAGCATATAGACTATAGATAGGCAGCTAGTTAGCTATTAGGCAGGCAAGGTAGACAGACAGTGATAAGTAAACTTCGCATGTGCATAATATTCCCAATTTGTTTATGTATTAATTAATGGAAAGCCAATTACTGAGCTAAACCCAATTCTTCATAGCTGTGGTGTATTTAGTGGTGTATGTATAAATCCCTCCTGAAACGTGGGTTGGATGATGGGCTTAACTCTCGAGGTATGAGGGGCGGGAGTATTTCCTGGTTTGTTGATTGGCGAAGGGTAGGCAGGATGGAATCGGATAATGAATGGTAAGGTGCATGTACCCACGGCAGTGGACATGGTAATAATTTAATGGATATGATTCCATGGTTATCGTCTTTGATAACTGTAGTTAAGGTAGAGGAAATAAAATAAGATAGGACAAAAACAATGGGGGGGTATATACACTCAAGAGCACAGATGATGCGGTTCATGGTGGGAAAAATAACATAAGTGAAAGAGACATACAAAAGGAAATAAAAAAGAATCGCAAACAGCAGATGACAAGTTGGAAGGAGTTATAGGTTAGGAGTTGATACAAACTTAGGATGAGATAGACTCCATGGTAGGTTGCTTTACCTCTCCTTGCTGCCAGCAGACAGCGTTCGGTGCGGTAGGTTTGTGAGAGCGAAACGTGAAAATACAAGGAGAGTCGAAGGGTATGATGATAGATATGTCAAAAGAAAACACGAACACACACACACAAAAAAAAAAAAAAAATTAAAGGAAACAAAACGACACTATGGTATACAAATGCCACACGGAAAAAAAAAAAAAAAAAGAAAAAAGAAAAATCAGTAACAAAATAACGAGTGCCATGCTCCTGTTTATCTATCTCCATGCTTTAAATTTGCCCTTTTTCAGCATTGGTTCTATGCTTTTTTTCTTTTTTTGGCTGTCGTTTGGTACTTTTCAGATAAACAAACATGAGGCAAGCCAAGCCGTAGCTGGGCGGGTATTCGCAAGTCGTTGAGAAAAAAAATCATCGGCCGAATGACAAAAAAATGGCGAGAGAGAAGTTGCATAAAGTGTCGATTGGACTGGTATCCGTTTTTGTCGTTGCTGTTCACTGTGTTCACTTGCGAGGGAGAGAGCACTTTAGCGGCCCAAAGGGGGTTGTTCAGATCGTCATGGTAGGAGATGAACTAGGCTGGGAAGAAATGCATAGGCAGAAACCAAAGAGAGTCGTGATCCATGATGATGTATGTGGGCCGGTCGAATAAATAGGTAGTGTAGTATAAAAGGTGGCCAACCATTTCTTTACCAGCCCTTATTCTCCTTCCTAGACGAGCCCTGGGACGCCAACCTCTCCGTCTCCCGCTGGATCAGTTTCTCAACAAGCTCCCGTGGCGAAACAGATCCATCATGATTCCTCGCACTGGAATCCGACGGCAGAGAACACGGTGCCCCAGCGACGAAATATCCACCCTCATCGTCCTCGAGCGCCAGGGGCGTTACGGGGCCCGGACTGCCCAGCGGATCGATGCGTGGTTTAGAAGGCTTTGTGCCGCCACTGGTTGAAGAGCCTCGTGGTGTAAGAGTCACGCCTGCGACGAGGTCACGATATTGACGTAGGGCATCCCTTGAACCTGATGGTATTCTGTAAGGCTGGGCGGGTCGTTGTTGGAGCGGGGAAGGAGGTTGGTTATGAGGAGCGTTCGAAGCGGATTGGTAGACGGCTGGGTGGAAGCGTGGGAGGTTGCCCAGCTGGATGGCGTGTTTTGGTTTGGGAGACATGCGGACTCTGTTGCGGGAGGGAGGAGGGGAATTGGGCCGGAGAGAGGGAGACATGGATGGGAGAATGGACGGCGATGAGTGCATGTAGGTGGTTGAGCGGTCACTTCTCATGGTGCTCCCTGGTTTGTGGGAGGCAGCAGCTTTCGCGAGGCAACCACCGCTGTTTTTTCTGGTAGAGAACCGTTTTGCGGAAGTGGTGAGCTGCTGATTGATAGCTTTTCTACGGAGGTCGTGAGGAGGTTAAATATGGGTAATGAGACGAACTGCTTGCTCGTAAATATCCAACAAGGCGGGTTTCACTCGAGGACTCGATAGGAGTGGTGTTGTCGAGTGTCGTAGTAGTAGTAGTAGTGAGTGAGCGGTTTGGTGTAGTAATTAGGAGTGAGGAAGTACGTGAGTGGACACACAATATCAAAAATAATTTCTGGAGATAGGCTGATGGATGGCCTGAGGAAACAAGGAGCGAAGGCGATGACTTATAATATATAGTTACACCCAGCACAAGATCATAGAAGAAGAAGCCCCATATAAGCAACCCACGACGGAAGAGGGGCAACCGGCGGCGGCAACAAAAAGGCAGCGAGGGAGTAGTTATGCAGCTAGCAAGGGGAAGCGAAACGAGCGACACGAGGGCAGCGACTCAGCGAGGGAAGGGGGCGCCAATTTGGGAACCTACGCTGTAACCGTGCCATGCTTACTCACTCTCTGTAGTGAGTGCACCACAGTGTACAGAAAACCACACTGTAAAGAAAATATTTTGAATATAGTAATCTTCAAAAATTAATTAATAATCATCATCACATCTATCTATAATATAAAGATTATCTATATACTCATTAGAAGATGTAGAATTCACTGTAAGTTAAGATTCTATAGAATTATCTTATTGTGGTTGAGTGACTGTAGATTTTATAGATTTGATTTCAATCAATTGAAGAGTCTTATTAAACATCTTTTTCATCTCATCTGCTCTACAGATTGCAATCTTGCAATTGACATTCTTAATAGTGAGAACTTTATCTACTTGTATCTATCTGTAGAAGAATTTGATAATCTGATGTCTATTTACTTAATAATGATCTGTAAGTTCATTCTTATAATATGTGTTCAATTCTGCCTGAATCATGAAGATCTTATTCAACTGTCTTGTCAAACCAGGTGTAAGAGTATTCTTCATATCTTCTAAGATCTTGACTGCTGTATTGATTTGATAATATAGTTTTACAATCATCTCTGAAGAGATTAATTGTAAGAAGACAGTTGATAATTAATCTGCAGATGATGAGATAAAGTGATTATATATATTATTATCATTATCATATATGTTGAGATCTGAGGCATTATTTTAGATTCATGAGTTTTTACTTGACTTATTTATAATCTGACAGATATTTGATAAATTAATATATTCACATCTTACTTACTGTGAGAGATGCAGTCTCTGAATCTATATAATACTATCTTAACATACAGTTTGCAGCAGCTTTGATATACTTAATAATGAATAAGTAAAAATTAATGTTTAACTGATAAATTTATATCTTAATTATCTCTTTCTAACTGTCATTCAATGCTTGATTCAGTGAAATTCTCATAGTTCTTGATTTCTTCTTATTGATTCTCTTATATAAGATAGTATATAAGACTTTGAATTCTTATAACAGAGATGTGATTTTTAATTTTAAATTACTTTTATATATGTTAACAGCTCTTTGCAACTGCTTCTTAGTGTAATTAGAAGATTTAGACATGATTATAATTAATAATGATTATTTAAAGATGAAGAATGAAGATATTGAAAATATTTTCTTTACAGTGTAGTTTTTCATATGCTGTGACACACTCACTACAGAGAGTGAGTAAGCATGGCACGGTTACAGTGTAAATGCAAACAATCTCAACAGAAAGCAGAAAACTTGACCTCACTAAGTGCGCCACTTGACCTCGTTATGTAAGCTGACCTCGCAAATGTGACCCGTGTCACTACTTAACCTCGCACAATACATCTTTTCTTGTAATGTGAAATCACTCTTTCTTTCTTAATTATTTATCATCAATTCTACAATTAATTTTTAATTGATTGTAGAATAATTCTTTTCTCTTATTATAATCTTTATATACAGAGAAGACTTTACTAATCTTATTAATAATTACAATTCTTCTTCTAATACTAAGATTGTTCTTGAATCTGATAATAAGATAAGTATTTACATAATTTACACTGAATTGATTATTAACTGATTTTCAATTGATTACTAATTGCTTAAATATACAGATTAAGTCTGTTCTTATCTCTTTAACTGATGTAACTGTTTATTCAATATATATTTTTAAAGTAGAGTATAGTTATAATCTGTCTGAGTATTCTAAGACTTATATACAAGAATATATATATATAATATTAACTAAGTCTTTAAATGTTGAGAAAATAACACAAATGATGAATAATGTAGATAATCTAAATCAATTCTCAATTAATTAATAATTAACTAATAATTGATTCAGATTCAGTATGAAAAAAGTTCTATTCACTTATTTAAAAAAATATATTACTCTTTTCTTCATTCTAGAGTAAAGAAGTACAAGTTTAAATATACTGATATTAAAGTCTGTTAATATTTAGATTAAAATTTATATTTTGTATCTTATAATGAGATTATAGAGAAAATATAAATAAATATTTAATAACTATAGAAGAGTATTCAGTTGATTAAGAATAATCAGAGAAAACATAATACTGTTAAATATAAATTAATTATTAATTGATTAAGAACTGATTGAAAGTTGATTGATAATTGATTTCTTAGTTTTACACAGATAATTCAAGTACTGTTTTAAAAAGAAACTTTCTATATATAATTTACAGAAATCTGTGTATCTGTCTTTTATTAACATGAGATTTCTGTATAATTTATTTAGCTCTTAATTAATTGATAACTGATTGCTAATCAATTAGCAGAATGTCACTGAATATTATACTTTATTTATTTCTTATATAAATTCTTTTAAGATAAATTATATTCATTACTTCTTTCAATCAGTATAAGAAGTTACACAGATAAACATTGAATTTCTTGAAAGAATCTTACAAGAAAATCTTTTTTTCATGAAGAAGAAATGTGAAGTTATGAAATAATTATGTGGTTCAGAAGAACATATAACTGTCAGATAATAACACAGCCGCTTCTGAACTACTAGTATACGAGTGTAAAGAGAGGTCATAGCGGTCACTAATTAATTTAGTATATAATATTATAATATATAAGAAGCCGGTGTACATCTGTAATTATATACTAGCTTAAGCAACCTTTGAATCACATCTGATAGCATGTCTAAAAACTGGTGAGAAGTGCAGACTTCTTCAGAGTGTGATAATTTCATCTATGAAGTAATTTATAGTTATTATATCAGTGTGATTCTAGAACATCTCAAAAGATAGTGTATGAAGAGTGATAAGTGAAAGAGCATCTGATTAATACTGCTTCACTTGTTGAGAGAAAACTTCACACTCAGATAAATGCCATGTATGAGACATGAATAGATGAGATGTGAGAAAGAGAATAAGAATGATGAACTAGATTCAAAGAAGTCTGCTTTCTACTCAAAAGAAGAATAAAAGAGAGAGATAATCATCACTGAAGTTATACAATGATAACAGAAATTATATAATGATATAGTGATATAATAATATAGTAATAGAATGATATAGTGATATAATGATACAGTGATATAATAATAGATATTATACAATTAATGAGAAATCACTGAAATGAATATCTTCTCTAGTTAATATAAACAACACTCTTCTCTGCTATCTGAACTGAAAGATATGCAGAATCTTTCAGAGAGTTTACTTAAAGTAGTAAGAAAAGTCGCTGAAATCACTGAACTGAAATCAAAGCTCTGTACACATATGAGAATTCTAAATAAGATTAAGATCTTGTGTATACAGTGACAGACTAAGACAGAAGTTAAATAACAATTAATATTCACTGTGAATCAAGCATTCACTATGAAGAGCTTCACTGACACAATCATCATCATTAATAAGAATAGAGAAAATCAGATCTTAGATCTGCAGTGAGAGATTGAATGTTTACACAGATAGATAACTATACTGAATCTGAAGATCTTACTATAATTGTTCACAATCTCTTCAGAAGTATACATATCATCAGAGATCACTGTGCAGAATGAGAATCTGAGTATAAGATATATCAAGCTGAGAGATCTGCTGAAGTTATCAAGCTTCAATGATGACTGAAAAAATAATGCTGTAATCAGCTAACTAAGTCAGATATAATTATATTATCAGATTAAATATAAACTCACAGACAGACAGTTAACAGAATTTTAACAAGTCTTAAGATCTACTACATTTCTACACAGAAAAGTAAAGTCATTATAAATAACTGATAAAAAGATAAATCTCACAGATCTGAAGTGATATTCATTCTTATAAATATGAAATGAGTTTTTCAAATGAATCTTATATAACTTTGAGAAAGTGAATATATGAGATAAGTGTTATAAATACTTCACTGAGTGTAAATAAGTGAGTAATCTTATATTATACTTCATACACTTCAGCTTATACTATCTTGTGTTGAATGAAGAACTTTTAATATCTTTCTATTTATAGATCTTCATTCATGATCTTACATCTGAGTTGAGAGTGAAATGAAAATACTTAATCTCATAATCAGACATGATAAAAGAAGTATATAACATTCTCATTGTATAAGAATAAGTGAGTCAATTATAACAGAAAATACTACAATCAAGTATATCTCAGTGAAGAATGAGTAATCAGACTTTTATAATACAAGTTATACACTCAGATATGATGAATCTAGATCTGAATACTATTACTAAAGCACTGAATTCTCTGAAAAAGAAATTCTCTGAGTGAAAATCTTGATATTATAAGTATCAAGCTTGCTTTAACTGCAGATGTCAAAATCATGATATAAAAGATTACACTCAGTGTACACAGTTAAGAGAAGCAAGAGAGTCAAAAAACTAGCAGAATCAGTGAGCTCAGAGACACTTGCTGATATTCTATAAAAAGTCTTCAAAATAAAAGAGATGTCTGTGTTAAATAATTCTCT